GGCAGTTGAGATCAGTCTGATCCCTCTATGGTTGCCGCATTACGAAAGGGAGCCTCCTTTGAAAAGTGGGTCTATGACGCAGCGGCTCATCTGTCGGAACAGTTTCCTGCACCCGAAGTTTCACTAGCAACACGTCTACATCATCCACAAGTGCAGGTCCCCCGAATTTGTAGAGCTGGGGGGATTTTATCTGCACCAGCGGCCTTATGCGATTTCAGCAATCTTATCTCACGTCCGACTTCTGCGCGTAAGGCCGGATCTAAGGAGGCGACCTATGGAGAAGGGCACACAATGCCCGAAAGGGAAAGTGATAACTCAGGTTGGTTAAATTGCCTTGCAGTGTTCGGCCCAACGCTCTAAGCGTTTTACCAAGCTGTGGATCGGCTGTCCACTCTGGTCGCATATTGTCTCACTAACACCAGGTCTCCTGCTGCCTATTTTCCTTATCAGACGGAATAACTTACGATGATTACCAACAAGAGCGGCTGTTTCTATTTCCGATGCACGATGAGACCACCAGGCTTCGCTGTCTGTCTTCAGTCTAGCACGCAGTTTTGCCCTGGGATTTTTGCGAGCCTCATTATATTCGCTTCCAGCAGGAGTACGTCGGCGAGCATCCACAATTTCCTGAGACTTTGCAGAGACCCAATGTCTAGGTTGACACTTTGATTTGCCCCACGAAGACATGCCTGTTGGTCATAACGTTTGACGAATGTGCGACCAGTGATCTTCGACGGTGTTCAGTGGACGCTTACTCAGCGCAGACACTGGCATAGTTTGATACGCATTAAGAACAGCTGGTTTCGCCAGTTGGCTTATGTCAATGCGCTCAGAACGAGATTGCGGACGTCCGCCGAAACGCACCCGCAGCTCGGCACACACGCTAGTGCTCCAGATCGAGCGACAGTTTTGGACACAGCCTCTCCAGCGGTAAGTAATCGCGATGCGATCGATTTGCGTCCATGGCTGGCCCGAGACTAGTGGGCGCAAAGTCACTCTTCTGCGGATGCTGTCGAAAGTTAGTGCTCGCGAGAAAGAGACGAGCACCTTCACACAGGTGTGGTAACCGCTCACCGTTATCATTACGGGAGACTACACCTTGTTGGCCGCCCAGATGAAGCTCATCAGAGGACAGTTTTCTGACTTGCGTGTTTAGATCACCAGCAAGCACCACAGTATCCGTGCTTTTTCTGTAACGAAGAAGCTCGTTAAGTTGGTGATAGAAATTCTCTTTCACCGCATCAGGACTGCAGTTTGGAGGGGGGGGGGCGTAAGCCGTTTGTCCCCGCGCGACTTCGAAGCCTGGAACGAGCCAGCCAACCTAACGGCGCACATCCGGCTGCTGACAAGGATCCAGTCAAATAGAGCAGCTTCAGCCCAGGGACTCAAAACAATGCCGATGCCAGTTTGATCGGCATTTGAAGCTGCGTCATCGCCAGACAGGCGCAATGGGAATGTGCCGCCAGTGTCGCATGTGGGGGATCGCAGAGTAAGCACTTAGCTCGAATCCTGCAGGCGGATTTCCAATAAACAGCAAATATCGACTGAGAGGGTCTCGAGTGTTCGGCCAAGTGCTGCCTGTTGGCCAATCTGTAGCAAAGTGCGCACGTTGTGGCATGCCATTCGTATCGAGGATCGAGGACTCCAAAGGGAAACGGATGAACTGACATTGTCCGCTTGGTTAAACATGGGCGTGTCGACTGTATTGTAGCGACGCCCTGCGACTGTGTGGGAGTTGAAACTAGAAGATAAGCGACTATTGAAGCAAGGTGGGGAAGGGCCAAGAATTGGGGGATTCAAAACGGGGGATGGAAGTGAAGTGGGAACGGGACGCTAAGCGTGAAAAAGCGCAAGGCGAAATAATAAGGCAGGAAGGCCTGCGTGGTAGCATCCAAACCCCTATCCACCCTGCTCGATACAGCAGATAGGGCGCTGTTTATTATCTTCTGCAACGGCCAGAGCATCAAGAGATTGTTAGAAGTTAAGGTCATGGTGTATTGCGTGGGCAGGATACTGTCAGGTTGCCCCGGCCTAGACAGGAAAGCGATTAGGGTTCTCAACCAAAGCCTTTGGTTCAAAAACCTTACCACAAGGCAGCGGGGTTTTGACACTGAACTACAGAGAGCCCGTTTTATGGAGTAAGGAGCCACCCTCACTCCAACCCCCAACCTGGAGGGCCAGGAGACTGAGTTTGTCTGGCCTCTAACCATTGACCAATCTGGTATGAGTGGCTCTGAAGGTGCAGAAGGCACTACCCAGCATATCTCAATGGATCACTGAGGCAAACAAATCATCACACCACGTTAAGGTCCAGTCTTATGGCGATGAAATAAATTGGTTGCGAACAAATCCGCGATGAGTTTAAGGCGTCAGAAAATATATTTTAAGAAAATGCCACAAACGCGAAAATGTTATCGAAGTTAACTAAAGTAGTTTAAGGGACGTGTGCAAGTTTATAGAAGATAGTTCAGGTAGACATTAATATGAGATAAAAAAGCATTAGGACAATATAGCAAACCCACCACCTCAAATAAAGTGACAGCTTGCAAGCAAGCGGTAAGTAAATCGAATGCAGCGTACCTACAAACGCTGCGCCGGTTCTGCCTACGTTCTCTGCAGGACCCGTCGTCGCTTCGGTAGCGGTCCCGAGTGGCCTCGCTCATGGCTCACTAGACCTGCCTGAATCAGGCACTCGCCACTGCATGTGATACAGCACCATGTACTCAATGTCGACGGAGTACAACCCATCGGCGCTTGCCGTTTCTCTGCATGCACTATGGCTTTCTCCTGCACCTAGGCAATTGCCTTCGTGATCAGATCGTGCCATGCACGCCGGTCATCCGCCTTCGATTCCCATGATCTGCACTCAAGAGTAGAACGTGAGAGGATCACTTTGATCATGTCCTGGTAACCATGCTTCGGTTTCCCCAGTAGTAGGTGCACGAAGGTGGACCAAAAAGACCTTCAGTCTAGTACGCTGCCTCTACATCTGAAGCTAAATGCAATGTGATCAATTTGAGACCACAGATGTGTTGGCGAAGGGGGACGCCACGTTGCGGAACGCTTCTTTTTACGCCTGAAATCAGTGCTCGAGAGAAACAGATGGCTGTCTTCACACAATGTAAGAAACCTCTCTCCGTTATCAGAGCGGTTCTCATCGAGCGCGTGATGACCACCAAGGTGGCGTTCGTATGGTAACAGGCGACCAACCCGTGCATTAAAATCCCCAGCAAGGACAACGACACCCGACTTTTTAGCATTAGTCAAGAGCTGATGTAGATCCCGGTAGAATTCGTCCTTTACCGAGTCGTCACTTCAGTCATTTGGAGCGTAAACAGAGCTCACAAACAAGTTGCGTCTCTCTTCGCAGTGCTTGTTGATTCTACATGCAACCCGAAGCCGAACTGCATATAATCGGCTGTTAATCGGGTACCAGTCCAGTAAGGCCGCCTCGACCTTGCCACTTATTGCTATACCTACACCAGCCGAACCCGCTGAGGCTGCTTCTGGATCTCCAGAAGGACGCCGGTGATATATGGCTTCGTGGTCAGTGAGGGATGTCAATGTAAGCGCAGTGCTGGGATCTTGCAACCGGGTTTCTGGTAAGGCAGCAGACATCAATGTCTTGGGACTCTAGGGTGCGCGTTAAACCGGCTTGTTGTCCAATCTGCATGAGTGTCCGAATGTTGAAGCCCGCCAGACGGAACGAGGATCGGGGACGAAGGAGAGCCATAGGTTGTACTTCTTGGTTCGCGGCGCAACCAGAATCGCAGCCAGATTTTTTACCACATGAATCGAGTAACGAAAAGTGAGGCTTATTAGCAAACAAACAATTGGCATATGATGAATTCTCGTGAATGTGAGAAGCAGAAACAGTAACTGATGAGCAAGTTGTAGTACAGTCCATGGTTTTGTGAGAGAGCGTGATACTACCCGGTTGCCCAAGCCAAAGTAGGGAGTTGACTTAGGGGACTCCACCCCGAACCTTTGGCTAAATAACCTACCCGCAAGACAGTGGGGCGAATTTAGCAAATCGCACCCATTGGGAGGCGTTGACTGAATGTTCACTTCATGAGTCTTTGTTTGGTAGATTACAAAACTGTTGCCTAATACTCCCCAGAAAATCAGCACAGTTGCTGGAATACAATGCCCCACTGAGGTGGAACATTGTCGCCGAACACTTTGCTAGAACGAGGTACACCCGAACCATCCAGCTGGCACCACGAAGAGGTAGTTCGGCAAGCCAGCAATGTGGTGGGTTTGGGTTCTTGGATCGACACAAGTGTCACTCCGGATTGTAGTCCACTTTGCCCAATGATCTCTGTGAATCCTTGCTCATATCTAGTGAAAGCATCTTGCAAATACAACAGAAGTCTATTGCGTTTGGTTGCAGATCACTTGGTGTGCACTTGTGTACTTGTTTGAAGTCAAACCGCCTACACTCGGATGCTGTGTCTTACTAACCTTCTTTCTCGGCTTGCGGCGTTTGCTAATGCTACAGTCAGTTGAGGTACCCATTCAGCAGTTCGACATTCTGGAATGATGAAATTGATCAAAGGTTCAGTCGGGTTGGTTTCTTGCGTTTCCGCCTCGAGACCTCGGGATTGGTCGTATCAGCCTTTGGGCACCCCATCGTCATATCTCAACCACTGAGCCCGTGGTCTTTGCTACTCGATCATTTACTTTCGTCCCTTAACCTACGCCAGATACTGTCATTTCTTGCCATTTTCTCTTACTTTTTTCATTTTAACGTTTTTCCTCTGACAACAGTAGTCAAAACAACTTCGCGGACCATAGTTGATTAACTACACTGGTTTGGTAATGTCCTCCACGGATACGCCCATATTTCATCGCATCATGGATCCCCTTGTGATAATGTGGTACAACTGCTCTGTTTGATTTCCACAAGCTACTCAGTTTTTTAAGCCTACCTACACTTGCTATGCTTACGAGTGGTGAATTCGCCACTTCCCATTTTATTGCCTGTTTCTACATCACAGGAGCACCTCGAATGAGCGCGTTGAGCGTCTAATTACCCGGTACTTCAACCAACTAACTCGTGGCTGCCAGGACCCTCAGTGTCCTAATCCTAATTGCGCCTCTTCAGCCCGCTTTTCACATTCTGGCATCTCAGCAAATCAGGCTGCCGCGCTTGCTCTTCAGCTCACATCCCGCCAAGCGCCCTTGTGCTATCCGTCAGATTCGGCTGTTGACTTAGCGACCGACAGTATGGATACGGATGATGGTCTTGGCACTGATCATGACTCGGAGTTTCCGCACTCTAATACCCGCTCCACTATGAGTGAGCAGATAACAGTTGGTACATCTAACTCCACTGCTATTGGTGAGTCGCTGAGCAATTTACTGGAAGCCTCAGAGCTTTCCCGGGGATCTTTCATGCGACCGAACGAGATTACTCGTCTGCTCATGCTACTCTTTGATGTCTCTGACACCGATGAAGCCACTCCAGTGCGCCAACCGGAGAACCAGTCCTCGGGCGATACAAATGTCGGCAATTCTCCTCAACTACTTCCACTTGACAACAGTCGCAGTGAGTCTGGAGGTACACTTGCTTTTTAATATTAATTTAATTTATGCATCTTAACCATAATCCAGTCCATTGGTTATCAATGCTTTGTCTTTTACCACAATCCGCACTTTACGTATTCAACTCATCATGCGGTTGACCGGCCACAGGTGAATCTGTCAACCTCCCATCTCACACTCAGTGATCTTGTATTAATGATTATCACGGAATGTGTTGGGGACCGTAAGATTCCACTGCTTTCCTTGTCCGTCAGTGGTATAGAAAAATAGCCACTTCACTGCTCAAGCACTATCCCTTTGAGTGCCTATGTTCGCTCCAGTCAAACCGGCTTGACAGCGTTTGGCGTTATTGTTGAAACAGCCTATCGGCATGTGAATTTTAGGCTTCCGCACACGGAACGCTGATCTATTATACACACTCGATTTATCTAATCCATACAGGTCATGTAGTCAGACGTCCTGACTTCCATATTAAATTCCTCGGTATCTTGGTCCACTAGCTGATTTCAGTCATAATTATGGGCTATTTTCCGTTTCACATCTTGCTTCTTGGTTTCCACCATAAATTCGAACTTGTCATTAATTTTTGTGATCCGTCCAGTTGTCGTTTTGCGCTTTAATTCGTCTGTCATCAGGTGACTTAGTGATTTCCTTCGAACATCTATCATATGAGTCAGGTTACGTCTAAATTGAGGTTACCTTGGTCACGTATTCACTTTTCGTGGGTTGATGGAGCACTGCCATTTGGATTGACGAACTACCCTAGCCGTGTTCTTCAACATCAAAGTGCCTTCGATTCGGTGGGTCGATGTGCCCTTTGAGGCTGTTGGATTATGAATGTTGTGCTCGATGATCACGTAAACATCGTAACGCTTTGCGCGCATTGTTCTGGCAGAGTGAGGGCTCAGTGGTGTGAGACTGGGATGCTCGATGCCATTGACGAACTCATGGAAACTGCGTTCACTGAACACGACTTAGAAGGCGTAAAGTTGCTTCTTGACTTGGATATATATATTATTATTTATTCACAGTCTGTTAACAGACATTGTGCCATCAGAACCATGGCAGAAGAAAAAGGTGAAAAAGATGTGGACATGAACTGCGATTAGAAATATGGGGAACGATTTTTCTGGTTTTGCACACGCCATTTTGTATTTTTTGTCTTGTTTTATGAGTTTTTGTGTGCATCAAAGGGATGGTAAAATGACAGAACAACATTGACGTCACTGATGTCTCTTACGGGCCATGACGTCTAATGTTTCCAACCACTGAGATTCAGCATCACTTGGTCCCCAACCTGGAAGACGGACTGGTCCAACTGCGGCCAAACTTGAGGTTGCCTTCTTCATGATCCTTCGCCACGTCATTGGCTGTCCACCGCGGCACTTTTTCCAATCGCTCCCTGGGAGTGCAAATAGCGCTCGACGTGGAAGGCGATGGGCTGGCATGCGCAAAACGTGCCCGAGCCGACACATGCGATGTCGGAGAATCACATCCTGAAGACTGGCACTATTCGCCCCAAGCACGCGGTCCCGCACCTCTGCGTTGCTTACGTGGTGTTGCCACCACACCCGAGCAATCCTTCGTAGACAGCGATTGTCTTGGAACGTATCGACGACATCACCTTCATCTGTGCCAGCTCACAAACGTGACGAGCAACGTTGGACAGATTAGCACTCTCTGTCTGCCGTTTCGGGCTGCGCTTTACACCCTTAAATTGCAGTCCTCCAAACTTGACAGAGGCCTACCTCTGCGCCAACCCTTGGTGGCAATCATCGAGAAGTTCCTCATGAATTCAACTACCTAGATAGTTGTATCAATTCCTGTGGAATTGAAGACAAGTTAACGAACCGTATAGCAAAAGCTCGATGCGCTTTTGCTAACCTCCGCTACCTATGGTGCTGGCGCGACATCACTCTCTCCATGAAGGGTCGTGTGTACAATGCAGCCATCCATTCAACCCTACTGTACGGCTGAGAAATCTGCCTTATTAGATCGACTAACATAAGGAGTTTAGCTGCGCTCAATCATCGCTGCTTTCACAGCTTAGATCTTGCCTGGTGGGGAACACCGCGTGAGCAATGAACGTGTTCGACGTCTCGTGTTTGGTACAAGAAGAGCGAGCGAACCACTCAGCACAACTATACCATGCACTAGGCTCCCATAGCTGGGCCGCGTATTGCGCATGCCAGCGCATCGACTTCCGCGACGTGCGTTGTTTGCGCGCCGAGAGTGCAGATGTAAGAAGAGGAGGGGAGGCTGTACGATGATTTGATCAAGAGAAATGAAGGATATAACTTAGAAGTTGGCCTCGATCGGAGCCTCTTCGCTCCTTGTTTGGGGCCAGAAAGACGACGAAAACGTTTGGTAGGATACGCTTTTTGGTATGACCAGGAGCCGACCTCATTGGTGTTTGTGTTATGTTTCTTTGTCCCACCCCATCCCACCTAACCTCCCTCTTTTAACCACGATCTTATTGTCAGTGCATAGCAATAAAAGATGCTATGTCACCTGCTTTTGTCTTTCATATTTTACTAAATTTTATTTTGCCTTTTCTCGAGTGCCTTATTGCGACTTAATTGTTGTGGTTTTTCGCACTCCTGAATAATGTTTAGAATGATGATGATGATCTTTCAGTAATAACCTGTACTTCTTATCATCTTTCATTGTCAGCTGAAGTAACGTCAAGTGCCGGCTCTGGTACTCGGTCGACATCTTCCACTTTCACATCTTGTTTGAGCGCCTCTGATGAAGCGAACGGGAATGCTGAAACGTTGAAAAATCTTTGGACTAGCTCTAACACCAACAGTACGCTGGCCTCGCTCGTATCGTCACTGCATGCGAATCAGGAGCGAGAATCCAGGACGTCTGGGTTAACAATAAGCGAGCTCAGAGATTCCATCTCAATGGGGAAAAGTCAAGGGGATTGGTCGCACTTGATCGGTCTTTTAAGTGCTGTTTTTAGCTCATACGAGGCTCTCTCTGCGAGTTTTGTAAACGAAACGATGGACTATGAATGTGTAGTCGGACAGTCCGATCCTTTGGCGAAGCGAGGACGCTCTTCTGAAGGACACACTTCTTGTTCAATAGAAGATACTGGAAAGACCTCTGATTGCCCAATGGAAGAAGATCGTAAGTCCATTTGTTCATTTTGGCAAGTACCTTATGTTGTTCTTTATTACATCATTTTACTAAACCTTACCAGTTTGTGAGATATACTGCCGCTACAAACAAGCCGATGAGACGAACATATGTATTGCACGTTCTATCGACCTTTATCTCAGTATTACTTGTTTCTGTATCTGGAGGAAGGTAAAATAAAAGGTGAATCGTCAGTTTTACTCTGTAACGGCACTTCGCTGCCGCGTGTTTACCACCAGTCACGCGTGGGCTGTGTATACCGTGAGGACGCCCATCCCTACGCGGATTCGAACCGGTGACTTTATGGCTGCAAACCAGGCGTGCAGACCACTCGGCCACCGGCCGACATCTGGGGGGAGAGATATGGTCGACGATATTTCCTTCTGCCTTTTGTGTCCAGATGCTGTTGTACATTCTCATTAATTTCTGTAAATCAATCCTATCGTTTATCCTATCTGTCCATCTTCTCTTCTAGCACATTTCTCAGAACAAACTGCAGATGTCCCTGTTGGTCACCTGCCAGCTCTGATCAGTACCTCTAAAGATACAATTGATGCTGACGCTCACCTGACTCCGCTAATTCATCCTGTAAACATACATGACATCCGCTGTGCATGGTCCATGATTTCTGCTCTACCGGAGCGTCAGAATGTGGTGGATGCGCTTATGCGGGCCGTGCGGCGCTTGGTTGTCACCAGTCTCCATCAGATCCTCGTATCCAAAGTCCCTAATAGTCTTGGAGATCCTGACGCCCCATTTTCCGTCAAGAACACACAACAGCGGCTTATCAATCTATTCCTAATCCTTTATGAGTGCCCGTTTGCCACCGATCCGTTGCATTTCGAGGTTAGCTCACAAAATAATTTTCGGAATATTTGCTTTTTTTATCTGGTACCTTGTAGGTGTCTCCTTGCGATAATGATTATTCGCTCGTTTCCTACATGAACCAGACCCGTTGGAACCTGTAGCTGAAATGTCTTTGGAATAGCCATTTAGCACATATGTTTGAAATTTTTCATCCCTACTTCCTGAGGTTACCACTGTAGTTACTGGCTGAGCAACTGTAGAACGAGTTACCCTGGCCCTATAGTCTGAGTGCCTACGAACGTGTGGGGTACCCAGGCTGTCATTGATGACTCATCCAACTGTGATCAGCTATTGGTTTTTATGCCTATGCGCCACACTTACGAATGCATCGGGTAGCACGCCCCTCCTCCGCTTGTTTCGAATATCTTGGTTAAAGGAATCTGTTGTTTTTTCGGATTCGAAGGTTCTGGCTTTCAAGCCAGCTGCTACGTTCACCTTCCTTGCCTTGCTCTTCACAAACTGACACAGAACTGACAATGGGGCACGTGCCACTTTTCAGTCAGCCTTGACCTGCTTACCCCCAGTGCTATTTTGTGAATGCTAATTGATCTGTTCGATGTTGACGAGGATGGATAAAATTTCCGTCGCCTTGTCTTGGTCTGTTCTTTCATTTTCATTCATCCGCATCATCAACCAAAGAAGTACGCCAGTTACTAATATCGATTTTTTTGTTTGGTAGCCTTATTAATATAGCGTTAAAAGAGGGTATCACTGGGGGACCTACCAACAATGTTATAACCCGACATTTACCACCAAGGTATCTTCATCTTGTCAACACTATTGCGTGAGAATAATTATACCGTGCACCCCTGCTGGGAAACAGCAACACCGGTAGTGTGTCCAACCAAGCTCATAGTGGGTGGCGTTGACAACAGCGTAGGTGACGAGATGGGGATACAGCATCTACTGGTCGTTCGCGAGTTCATCTCTCACTCCACACTTTAAACTTTACGCCATCTAACATCGCATAAAGAAAAGAAGTTGTTCCCGTTGTCGGTGAGCAAGCTTACATCATAGCTGCTTAAATTAATGCAAATTATTCAATTGTATCCGTTGTGCTGCAGAACTGACTTTATTATCACCACCTAGCGATTACCCTAAGCACATCCCCCTTGCAAACGTGCTGGTACCACCGATCAGCGTCAGTAGGAGTGCAGCAGCACTTCACATCGATGCAACGCTGCTATTCAGCCTGCAAGTGGTTGTACGCGGACCGGGATGTTTCCGGATTGCCAAAACTAGAGCTTACAAACCAGTCTGAACCGCGGATCCCCATCTATGAACTAGAACAGCGCTCCAAATACATCGATGGTCAAAGACCTTGTTGGCCCTCACTGCTTTTCTTTACTTACGGTTTTTAAAATCAAGTGGTATCTACTTCTGACTCCATGTGCACTGCAGATTCATGAAGATAGTTCTGACTTTCACCGTGCATCAGCTAACTGCAGGAGCTTATGCTCCGTCGTCACCATCTCTTAGCCACACGTTGCTCGGCAGTGAAACGGAATTCGGATTGCCACTTTAACTGTTATCCCAATCTATCATTATTTGGAGTTTTCGTATTCCTGTCGTTACCAAGTCGAAAATCAACCATGTGCCTAGTTTGGCGATGCCCATAGTTGGCTAGTTTTTGGCGTGACAACTGAGGACGAGATGACTAACCGACGGACTTGTCCGACTTGGTGCATCTCTTTCCTGAGAGTCTCCGTCCATTAAGCTACACAATACTTCTTAATACGACTGATTGTATTTGCGTTGTCTTGTCTTTCTTACTGGATGCCTACTTTTTGGGCCCATTGACATGAGTCTTTCGATGGTCTGACTATGGTTTAGATCCCGTCTCCCCTTTCTCTTCCATTTTCGGGGCACACCAGCCTTGTAAGTTAGTTTACAGACTTCATGTTGGGTTTCCTTTTCTGTATTATCTGACCGCTAAGCTTTTACGTTGCTGCTTGCTCCCAAGGTGATTCAATTGTCCTTAAGCAATTCATCCTATATAAGCCTCGGTTTCTGTCCGCTTCTGCCATCAATCCAACAGCATTTCTCATCTGCGTACAGTAATTGAGCATATTTAATCAATTTGTCTTCACACTAAGCTATTGAGAAACTTGCGTTATCCGTTCTCTTACTACGTAATTCATGTCTTTCTACAGTCCGAGTCATAAACGACGCTAGAAACCGGTTCCAACCAAACCCGCATCGTGTTGTACCAACGATTCGTTACCGCCGTTTAGTTAGCCACTTCATCCGTTCTTAAGCGGTGTATTTGAATCACTCATTTTGTCACAAGGATTCGTTTTGCGTTTCGAATAATGTCACACCAAGGCCTATTTTTAGTTCATTATTACCAGCGCGTCACCTTTACTCAATGGGAAATGATCATTCTTAATTTCTCGTGTATACTTACTTGCTGTTCATCACTGCTGAACCTATCGTTGTATAGATCTCGAATCAGCATGTCCTCGGCACACTGAGTTGAAATTAAGGCGACGAGCTTTCATCTAAAATCCTTACCCATCTTCCTTTTTGTGGCTGAGAACCTTATACAACTTCGTTATACCGTGACTCCCTTTTTCTGAACTATGTATCGACCTGTGTAATATACAATTCCCAACCCTCTACATCACTATGGAGGATACATCTTTGGTAAACCGCATACGTGTGCCATATTGCCTAAGAAGTGCCTTTCGAGATGTCCGTCCGCATTGTTAGGTTTTATTTTTTTATTGGCTACCCTATTGCGACAGCACTTGCTTTTGAACATTAATCGCGCGGCCACTTGGCTCCCAGTGATGTTACAAGCTCGTCTTTGCCGTGCCTGGGCTAAATCTGCCCATCTACCTCTGCCGGACTGCTTGGATGGGACACCTCCGTCTCCAGAACAGACCAACTTATGGTCGTTGCAGAAGATTCTTTTACATCACATCACTCTACGCTGCCTCACCACGGATCATGGAGTGCCAAATGAGGACAAACAGATATGCGAGGCGGCTCTCGTCCTTCGTATAGTCTACTATGCTAGTCTGTTGGCTGGCGAACTAGACAGCGAGGAGCTGCTTAAAAGGGAGGCCAAGGAAAATGCAGAGTTTGAGGAACTAATGCACAATTATTTCATAATAGAGGTGAGTTCTATTGTCCTCCCCTTCTGCTAATTTTGTAATTCTCTACCGGTACTCCTTTGATAACTGTTTTAACCTAACCAAATGCCTGTTCTTCGCGTAAGCGTTCGCTGACACAGGCTTGCAACCCCTCTTCATTGACGCCGAACTTAAGGGACTACAATGGAGTGGATAGTGTCTCACACAGTCAAATTAGCCTTGTTTAATCCCAATTGGCTTTTGTTTTCTCCCAGTCTATGGAAAACTCGGTTCTGTCTTAAATCGTGCTAAGTCGCATAGCTATCAGAGTTGTCACACACAAGTAGAATCGGCTAACTAGAAGAGGTGTCGCATCAAACGACTTTCGGGGTTAAACACAACGCTCGAACTGCTTGATTTGGTTATTCTGACAGCCCCATCATCAACGAAAATTTGATTCTGGAACTGTCGCGTAACGCTGTCGAAGGCATAAGGGGCCGTGTGAATAATCAGCAACTACTTCCTGTTCCCACGTACACTTCCCGCTTTATCGATTAACAAAATCACCTTGCGTTTTTATGCGCACATTTTGAGCACGTGGGCGCACATCTAGTTAGTGGCTAAGCACCATACGTCATTTTGACTGTTTCCTTCCCTGACAAACGAACGTGAAGTCTCGGTCATCTTGAATACTCATGGTAGCGTTACAAACTTTCTCTTGCTACCTTCGGCCTTAAGTTCACATATGCTTCACGAAACCCGAGCTGCTCGGAATTACGTAAAAAATCCAATTAATAATATCTTTAAGATTTTATCTTGTAACTTGCACCACTTTCAAATGCAGGCTAAGGAATGGATATCCCTCACTGATCACGAGTTCCTTCTCACCCCGCTGGTTGGTTGTTTGTTTCCACTGAAAACTCACCGGCGGGTGTATCCTGAGACGCTTGTTCTTCCGAATAATCTGTCTTCGAGTCAACCTACCTTCTGGCAAATAGTGCACATGTGACTGACTCGCAAGGCCAGCTGAGATAGAATTCCTTCGCCATCATCGTCTCGACACTACCACCGAGCTATAAAGAGCTTTGTAGGCTAGCAGACTTTTGTCGTAGTTTTCGTGTTAACAGGCCCAACGAGTTGCGGATCCGACGGTCACTGGTGACATCGGTCTTAGGGCAACTCGTTCGCAAATATCGAACGCAATTTGAACTTCCTGTTATTTGAAGCGGGTGTGAGGCATGTTCTCAGCCACAGACCACATTGTCATGGTCACTAATCCACCACCGTAGTGCTTTAGCGCTGGTGTAAACCACCTGCGATTGTTGTTGTAACTTAGGTCAAAAATCCAACTGCACAGGTAATCTGATTTCGCGCGTGTTTTGCGTAAACGACCACTCTCCAACTCTTTCCTTAGCAGTCGTCGCATAGCAATCTACTTCTTCTGATTTATATAACACTGTGTTTGCAGACAGATGACTAAATTTCCTTATGCTAATTTTAAAGTTGACCGTCCTTGTCTTCATTAGATTATGCTACTAGCTAATGCATACTCCCCCACAGCATCTACTCTTACACAGAGTGACTGCCAATCGTCACCTCAACAACTTATCTGTCATTCCGCGTCACCATCTTCAGTATTTTCTCGCACTCTGATATCGATACGGTTTAGTTTCACTCATTGCCATCTAAGAGGGTAGGATTTTCCCCATCTGGTCTTTCAGTTTCCCCATCCTTCATGTTTATAATAATGGTTCATATGACCTCTCCGCTTGTGATTAGTTTCTCCGGAACCATAACTTTTTACCTTTTCAGCATCGGTCTGAGCGTTCTCGTCCCCACTCGATTGAAGATCCGCTGGCCAAAGCGTTGGCCATATCTCCCCATGACTGCCGCAAGCCTTTCATCCCTGCCAAGGATTTTGTTAACGAAACTCTCAATGAAGGCCTCAAGGTGAATAAGTTTGATGTGTTGATCGATCATGTTCTTCGCTCTACACTAGAATGACGATCTTTGTATCGAACTCACGATTGCTGTGCTGCGGCACAATGTTACCTGGGTACCGTCTTCGTTTACCCCAATATCATCATGCACCATTTCGCCGTGTGGGCCTTGTACTCTCCATTTTGGCGTATGCCGTCAGAGCCCTTTCACGGGTTCACGAACTTCAGGATCGTGTACGATCCTTCGCTTGGGATAGCATCCGACATCGTTAAACAACCGGACATCCTACTTGTTGTACCCGTGTGTGTCTTTTACCTCTCATTGCAATTTCATGTTGCTGGACTGCTCTCTCATCGCCGGCCGTTACGCCCAAAGTCGCCGTTCAGTTCACTTCACGGTAGTCATTCCGCTTTCAGCCCATCCACTTAGAAGATTATCGTTTCTTTAAGAAACAGCCTTGATGTGCATCCAGATATTCGAATCGGGAAACCACGTATATTCGACCCTGCCTTTAGATGCGAGATGGCTCCGCTTTTGCCCTTTACTCACCACATTCTTCGTTATCGCATCCATCCACCACACCCTAGCATTTGCCTTCTAACTTTCGTTCCAAACAACCGCCACTTATTTCCTGATGCTTCAGCCTCTGTACTGTCACCATACTGTGTACCATTCACGCGTCATTTACTCGTGAATCGCGTTATCAACATTCTCAACAGAAATGAACCTGTACGTTGTGCTACAACGTCGTAACCATGGAGGCATACTTATTCAAAAAACCGTCAGGGTCAAGGTAAATACATCCGCTAGTCTCATCATCACCGCTTAGTACTCCCCCGAGCACGTTTTCGTTGCGGATGCGCACTTGTCACCAGTCACTAGCGATGTTCCGCACGCTTCGTCTATCGTAAACCCTAAAACATTCGAGTCTATTGACCAAAGATCTTGGTTCCCAGTAACGTGGACAGCATTGGTTCTCACAGTGGCCCTGTTTACGCAACCATTACGACCGGACAAATCTCCAATCCTGGTGTCAAAAGTACCAAGCGATATCATTTCGGTTATGAGAGGCGGTGCAAGGAAACGAATGCACTATTTACTTGGTGTTTGAATGCTGTAACCACAGGGGGTGCGATGGTAAATTCAAGGAGAGCATTTCAGACGCGACAAACGCGTAGTGAGAAGGACTTTTGGTGACACTCCAAACGGCGATGTTGCTTCATGTGTTTGAGCTAGTAGCTTCTTATGACTGCTTCAGCAGGCGGCAACACGCGTGGTTAGGGTCGCTTAACATCTGACAATCATAATAAAGTCCTTGTTCAAGCGCCGATATCGTCCACTAAAGTCCCTTACCACTTTCGGTCTCAATTTCCAAGTCAAATGATATTAACATTTAACGCTTCTAGTCGCCTGGCGTTGCAGAATCTCCAAAACGGTTAGATGTCGCTTCATTCACATTTTCTCGGCTTGTTTTTATGTATAAATGAATAGATAGATGTTCTTTTCTCTGCAGGGCGAAATGCTGTTCTTACATCGGGACAAATAATCGAATGATCAGTTATTGTTCTGAACATGAAAATTAGAAGACGTAGTTTGTGTAATGACGTCGTTATTTCGTGCATTCTTATCAATCACAAAACGCAACAGTGATAGGTAAGTGAACAACCACGATGTCAGATGATGTCGTAACTAACCAGGCGTTAACATAGGTCGACAGATAAAATATTGCCTATGTGCTGCTAGCGTTGTGTCATCCATAACAATAATTGTCGCTTGCTTTTTCCTCGCATGTCACCCAGAGCGGAGTTTATTGAATGCTACTCCTAAGCAGGATTGCACCTGCTGCATGACAAAAGGGGTCTATCGAGTGCTCACGTTAGCATCACATGTGAATTGTTGACTAGTCCGAAGGAGATTCTGACTTACTGTAAGAACATTCAGGGTGCTTGGTTACTTTCCACATTCTTATGGCTGTCCTTTCGCAATTACTTCTGTTCTCACTGTGTGAGTCGACTGATGCGAAATGAGATAAAGAAAAAGGGCCACTAGATTGTTTTGTGAAGAATTGATTATCGATAGAATTAGAACCACCGGTTCCGATTACATCGAATAATTAATTGTGGTATTTTCACCTGCCAAAAACCGAGGTAGAGTGCAGTTTAGTGGCAACAGGAGTGCAAAGAGTGAAGATGAGGGCTCGATTTTTTTCCGTCTCTAAATTCCATGCGAACATGGGGACCACGAAGCAGGCATAGCCGAATAAGGAAAAATTTCATGGGGGCGAATTTTTTTCAGATTTTTCGTATTTGCTGTAGGTTGTCTACACCACTCCCTAATAATTCCATGATCCCCTTGTTGAACCCATCATATTTGTTGTAGTGCCCGTTGTAAATATCCTTGTATTTCTTTGTTGAACACCATACGCGATTTAACCTGTTTAATTTTTTTGGAATTTCGTCGCATACTTTGGAATGCACTATCAGGGAAAATTTCTCTCGTCCTGGTGCAGCACCTCACTGTCTTGTTACTGAATTGGTACCATGAGGGCGTACATATTCATCTAGCGATTGTAGGATACTCAGGAAGTCTAACTTCCTGCGTTTTAATTCCCCTTCCACTTCGGACTCTTATAGACAGTTGAGGTTTTTTTGAGCCAGCACATCGCCATTCCCTTTCGTGAGATTTCTGCATCTCTTGCTTACCCGACTTTTCAAATGTCATAAATAGAGCACTCTGCGCTTGGCTAGGTCAGATTGTAGAGGATTCTGGACGGACTATTCGTTACTTCATCAGGATAGGTGTGAGGCTGTGTGTGATCGGCATAATATAACCGGTTCGAGACAGCTAGGCGTAGCGATTGGCCAATAAACATTCACCGCAGACGTGGCCCCACTACTGAGCCTTTTGTTACACTGCATTGAACTCGGATAGGATCTCACACGGATCCGTGCTTGTGTAGGGAAAAGTTGCCTTTCCACTACAAGAGAGGATAACCAGTGTTGCAGTCATAAAGGTTAGAACGAAGGGTGCAATGGGTCAACAGCTCAGGTACTTTCGAGTAGTTGTAGTGAACTACGTCAACTCCAGCACCTCTGATGCATGTTTCTGACGGCTGTCACGTTCTTGAGCGATATGGGAGAGTTTATTTGGGTACGACATTGGCACTTCAGCAGCGTAGCTTACATTACCTTTGAAAGCGTTGAAAAAATATATTCCTGGATAGTGCTTAACTGGCACTGAACGAGTGCCCTCTTCTTGAGGTGTAACTTCCACACCAACCTAATCACGAGACCATTGGTAGAAAGGATTTCTCCTATGCTCTTGTGTTTTGTCATCATCAGTTACTGGGAGCTTGGATACAATATGGATGGAAATAGTTCTTTCCCGGTTACCCATGTCATGGTCCTTCCGTCCACCAGCGTACTTTTACGGGTCAAACCAGCAAACGTCCACGAAGGTGGTTTTCTCATTTGGTCCATCCCCTGTGCGGTATGTCGAGAAAAGAACGGCTTCAGTGTCATTCATGGATCTCAGGGCTGTTTGAAATAGTCGTGGCTCACTGTATTACACTAGGCTAGTGAACACCAATAAGATCACAAACGGAGTTTCACTAGTTCAGCACATCCATATATATTTAAATTTAAATCAATTAGCCTTGGCTTCAACGATGGTGCACGTAGTATCTTGATTTCACTTGGTCTTCAGTGCTACAGTGAATGTTCATATCACCGTTGTCGTTCACTGTTGTGCCAGCGGCCGAGCCCATTGATATTGCCTTTAAGATACACTGATCAGCAACCGCTACTTGATTAGTGTATAGGGGCAACGAAAGCGGGCGTGATTCCTTAGCTTACGCTGTCTGCTTCGTTAGAGGTCCACAACAGTACTGGTACTAAAATATTGTGTAAACGCCGGACCCTTGACCGATTTTGTGATGAAGGGTATCGTACTTCGTGACACTCCTAAGACACACTGCTTGCGTAGAACGGTCATACATGGGGTACAGAACCTTAATTCGTTTCATTCTAGTCTGGTGCATTCTCGACGGAAATGGATTGAACAATGAATTCGTGCTACTCCGGCGCATGCTTCACAGCTACATACGCCTATAGGCCGACACCCGTATTTATGTTATTTTTCCAGATCACTGTAGACTAACTTGTCGGTTAACATGTTGCCTCATCATCAACCTTGTTTGGTCACCATGACGAGATCAGTATTGCAACTGGTGAGCTAAGCGCTCGAAGCGGTTATCACATGTACCGGCCGCAACTTGATTTCGACAGTATCGTACAGTAACGTGTAGCTTGCTGTTATGTACGTACGTACGGTTTATTGTGTCCCATGCTAAGGCTGATGTTGCATTCATGATGCTTCTTCACCGCATTTGGGCTAAACCAGCTAACACTTAAACGAGGTCTTTTTAATGTGGATAAAATTCATTACATGTTATTTGGTTTGTTCTGCGTACTTGATAATCTCCTTACTTGCACACGTCGCTCATGCAAATCGTGGTAAACTTGCGTAATTGTAACGTGTGGTATTTTTTAAATAACTTTCGGACATTTTGTAGTTATCACGGATTCAATTATAACCAATTTCTTCCGTATGCTCATTTAGCGAGTATTTATCTCGTCATATGCGTTTACTTTATTCGATATCGGCATTTCGAATGATTCGCTGTTGTTTGACATCCCAGGTGTGGCTGCGCTTGATGTGCATGTTGACACGGTGCCTACCTGTCTATTACCCACTTCGTCGTCCATCTGGCTCCAGGAGACAGTTGATCGTTGCTGGAGGGGACGGGGTGCACGGTCCTTGTGGCCGTGCTACGCTCGAAGAGTGGTTCCATGCACTCAGTGTGGAGCGGACTACGGTCCAGCCACCGCCTTGTGTGCGCTTGATTCCCCAAATACAGCGTGCTTGTGTTTGCCTGTGAAGGAGTGTGGGCCGGCTCCGTTGATGAAACGTGGCTTCCATCCATATGCCTCCCGGTCTTATTCCTTCGG